GCACCCTAGCCGGCCCCCCCCCCCCCCCCCAGCAGACCAGGGACACGGGAAGCAAAGCCGCAGCGGCGGCGTGCCGCGCCTCTGAGGCTTTGCTCTGGTGCGGGGCCCCTGCCGCTGCGGCTTTACTCCTGGTGTCCCTGGTCTGCTGGGGACCGTCTCCAGCAGACCAGGGACACCGGGAGCAGCTTCTCTCACCCCGGAGGTCGAGGTGGCGGACCGCTGCCTGCGAGCTCCGGGGCGAGAAAGCCCCTTTCGTAAGTGCGGAAGTCGGATCCGCGTAAGTCGGGGACTGCCTGTATACTCTTTTAGCCCCCAAAAAGAAGTACAGAGGTAAAACAAAAATAAATCTACACTATAGGTTTGCCATTATTATAAGCAACACAGAAGACATGAAATCAGATGAAAGCTTTCCCAAATGATTTTAACTAACAAGCTGAAATACTTGGGAGGAAGGATGGATTTTTCATGTGTATATTGAGAAAATACTGAAGAGTAAATCATTGACTGATACTGTATAACAAAGTGTACAAGATTCTGAGATCCCATTTAAGAAAGTAATAATGCAGAGTTATATCAATATGACCTGCACAGAGGTACTATAGCATCTTATGTTCAAAACTTTACTGAGATCAGGACACTTAGACCAGTCAATGGCATTGCACATGAATGCATGGACTGTGCATCCAGTTACAGAATCAGGGCCCAGGTATAGAAAAAATTTGCCAACCCTTTCCCCATATTTAATAATAATAAACCCACTTACTTGCTTTTCCCTTTGTACACTGTGGCATATGATCCTTCCCCTAGTTTTTCCAGTTTTTCATAAGAGTCTGCTTTTCCAAACTTGGGGCTTGTAGGCTAAACAAAAATAAAGGATGGAACTTTCAGTATTAACACCAAAATTAATTGCTTTGATTTCAACCATGTAAGACTGAGCAATATTACAGAAACTGATGTGATAGTAAGACTGAGCAATATTACAGAAACTGATGGGATATCTGTTTTGTTTTGTTTTTGTTTTTTTTGTTTGTTTTTTTAAGAACAGTAAGAATCTGTGTAAGAATCTAGCAGAGCTAATGTAGTTTAACAGGCTGCTCAAATAAATTTTATTCAGCACTCCAGATGGTAGTTACCTATTTCAACCATATTATTGTGTCAGTGGAGTCATCAAAAATATTTTGTTCTTAGTCAAAAAGGAGGCTTGTTTCCCCCTTTTGGCATACAAAACTGTCATTCAAGATTTTAATCTGCTCTATAAAATAGACAAGGTGATTGCATATGCCTGCTTACATGAAAAGGTGTAAAAAAGTGGCACTTAGTCCCAGAGCACCCCCAAGAAGATCTAAATATCTGAAGGAATATGCTCTCAGAATGAATTTCACTTCTGATTCATCCTAACTTCTCAGGTTTGCACACACAATCAAAGTATACCTGTTAATGGCATATGCATGCAGTATGGCTTTTTTATAATTTGTATTCTTAGTGATTGCTGTTTGGGTTTCTATAATTGAATTAAGCTAATTACAGTACTTTTTTCCGTGAAAAAAATAAGGGTCAGATTTTCAGCTAGTGCAAACAGACATAGCCTCATTGGCTTTAGCGACGGCTGGGAATCTGCCCCAAGCTTTTACACAAACCTAACAAAACTGACAATAACTAGAGCTGTGAAGAGTAGGTTTCATACTGCACCTTTAAAAGTATACTTGAAAATGATTAATTTGGAAGTGCTGACAATAAGGTAAAGTATGTAGAAGGCTCCATCTTGTAAATTTGCACTGTTAATCTTCGTTTTGTTGGACAGAGTCTACTCATCAGGAGAATTCCTAACAATAGTTTATCACAATCTTCATTACTTCAGTACAATAGTCTTTGAAAAAATACATGTATATAGTATTGTGTGTCTCTTTGCAGACATGCATCTCTGATACATAGGTGGAACAATGTATGTGTATATGTTTCAGCATAAATGAGGTTGCAGTGTGGTATAAACATTTCTGATTGAAGGAACCACTTTTTGTTTTTGCAGAAATTTTCAATTTATTTTTGATTTTCAGTCTGGGAGTCATTCTGGGTTCCATCCTCTCCCTTCCTCTTGTATCTTTCCAATACAAAAAAGGGGGACGGGGTTGGAATGAGTGAGAAAGTGAGATTATTAAACTATTCCTGCTCCCTTCATCACTGGGGTGAAAACATATGCAAAAATTCTCAACTAGCAGTAATTTGACAGATGTCTCTTTACAATTACTCCACATATGATGAAAAAGTATTAGGAATCTTTTAGAGGATTTTTTTAAAAATTCACCCTAAATTTCTCTTCTCCCCCCGCCAAGGTCAGAATGAGGAGTCTATGTTGGGGCCAGCAGGGACAGAAAACCTTTGGCCCCTTGTTAGATTGCTTCCTTTTTTCCTTCTCTAGTCATGATCTTGGAGGAGGAAGGAGTGAGGGCTTCTTAACTAGCTGGTTTTGATAGAAGAGTGCAGTACTGTAGAATCCCATTAATTGCTCTGGAGCAAGGACTGTCACCTTTGTACCTTGTCTGTACAGTGCCTAGCATGATGAAATCTTGATCCTTGATGGACTTCCTGGCTGCTACCACAGTACTAAGTAGTAAATAAATAAGTAAGTATCTGTCTGCCTCTCATACTATCAAAGACAACAAAAACATTCTTCCAAGACATTTCCAGCAGCTTCCAGTGAAAAACTGAACATAAAACTTTAATGAACCCAAACTGGTTCTGTTTAGAGAACTGAAACTACATAAAGAAAAAAAGGAAACTGATGTACTTTCTACACGCTATATCAATATATTAAATTAGCCTGCCATTATCCAGGAATTGTGGAATACTGCTTTATTCAATTATTGAAGTTCTTCCCATGCAATCCTACTGCTGCTCTAGTATGTAAGCACATTTTCTGGAACTCCTAGCACTTGTGCACATGAGTCTATTCACAGGCATTTATGCATGCCTGTAGTGTTTGCAGGATCAGGCCCTACTGAGTGGTACTAGAAAAGGTAGCTGAAGTATTCAATGCAGTGAGTTTTCATCAAAATATATCAGTTCATATGAATTAACATAACATTTTTGGAATTTTCTTCTTTAAACAAAGTTTCCATGTTTTTTAACTGGGGGGAGGGATGAGGGGAATGGTTAGCAGGCAATGCAATGGCTACCACTGTATGCTTTCACTGAGACAGTTGAATTTAGGATCACCAACTAATTACACAAACTCAAAAACCCTTGCACAGCCCTTCTGAAAGGCCATAGCCCTGCCCCACTCCTTCTCCATGGCCCTGCCCCAACTATTACATCCTCCCTCCCTTTGTCGCTTACTCTCCCACACTTTCATTAGTATGGACCATGAGGTTGTGGAGTTGGCTCTGGATTGGGCCTGGGGTGAGATGCAGGAGGGGGTAAAGGTTCTGGGAGGAAGTTGCGGGGGTGGAGGATCAGGGCTCTGTGGGTTGCGGGCTCTGGGAAGGGGTTTAGGGCTAAGGAAGGAGGAGCTGTAGGCTCTGGGAAATTCAGCTTGAGATCCAGTTGGCACCGCAGCAGGATAAGGTAGGCTCTCTGCCTGCCTTGAACCCACACCACTCCCAGAAGTGGCCAGCATGCCCCTCCAGCCCCTAGACAGTGGTGGAAAGGCCCCCCCACATCCTGCCCCTGCTTGCAGGCACCACCCCCACAGCTCCCCTTGGCCACAGCGAGGGACATGACAAGGAGTTCATTTCCAGGAGCATCGTGGGGGCCAACAAGGGAATGTGCCTCTGGCCTGCTACACCACCAGAGTTTTGGCAGCCAATCTTACGGTTTGGCATCTGGAGTCTCAGTTTTTTTCAATAAAGACAGAGTCAATGTTGGAAGAAACGTTATCTTTATTTTGTACATCAATAAGAAGGGGGGCTAGGGAAGGGTAAGTGGAAGGAGGTGAGGGAGGAATGGGGTACGAGCCCCCGATGGGGAGGACTGGGCTGGCTCTGCGGGCTTCTGGGGGTGGAAGCTCTCCTGCAGCCCCCCAATTACTCCCTCTCCCCAGATGGCAGCCTGCGGCAAGTGCAGCCGGGCTGATGGCCGAGTGGTGTGATGTGCCCAGTGTGGGCACTCAGGGCACTCCAAGCCAGAACTTCTTTGCAAGCGGGGCACCCCTTAGAACTGTGTGTCCGGGGTGGGGGTCGGGACCCTTTAAGCGCAGCCCTCGGCTAGCCTGAGACAGTATCTCCATGCTCTAAGTCCTCCTTTTATGCCCTGCCGGCACTGCTTCCGGCCATCCTTAAGCCCTGTTCAGAGTCCACTCAATGTGGACTTGCTAGTTCGAACTAGCAAAACGCTAGTTCGAACTAGTTTTTAGTTCTAGATGCGTTAGTTCGAACTAGCTTAGTTCGAATTAACTAATTCGAACTAAGTTAGTTCGAACTAGCGCTGTAGTGTAGACGTACCCTCAGAAATCAAGCCCAATTCTGAGACACTCCAGGCAAAACAGGGAGGGTTGGCAACCCCAGCCTTCAACGGAGTCTGGAAGCTCTGTCAGTGTTAAAGCACCAGTAAACTATTCAGTGCTGCTTCCTGATATAGCTAAGGGGAAAGGGAAACCCTAAGCAACACCTGGCAACCCTTTGACAACACTGGAAGAAGATCCATTCATCAGACAAGGTTCATCTGCTATCAGGTTACTTACCAGGAAGCCATTACCAATAGGCATGAATCTGAGTTTGACAGTAGGGAGAAAATAGTCTCTAATGTTGAAGATTTGCAAAACCTTCAAAAAACGTTCCTCCATCATTAGATTTTCATTATTAGCTCAGATATAGTGAAGCTGGTTTACTATGCATTCTTATATGTAGTTTTCCTATTTTCATGTTGAGATTTACTTGTGTTGTTTTGGGATTTTTTTGTTTTATAATACCACCAGAATTTGCTTCTGCTTTAGAACTCAGATAAGTGATATTGACACATACAGCATGCACAATTAATGTTTAAAAAAACCCACCAATTGCTGATGCTAGCAGTTGTTATTATACATGAAAATAAAATGAATGCTAATTTATTTCACATGGTAACTTTTTGTATTTCACTCATCTGGGAAAGTACAGTATACCAATCAGTTTAATTTTCTGGTTCTTATTCAGTAGCATAATACTGCAACATCTGGGCTGAAATTGCTACAGAGATTGATCTTCTAAAGAATGAAAATAATTCTTGATATTAATTTTTTGTAAAACATCGTTATATAGAGTGTAAATATGAAATGCCATGTAAAATCTAAAATCCCAAACATTTGTATATAAGTACAGTACTGCATACACAAAATTGGGGTGTTCTCTCCTTTCAGTGCATCCAATTTCATATATATATATTTCTACAATACTTTAAAAAGCAAAATCCACAGCTACGGACCTAGACTATTGAAAGGGCCACTCATGCCCATATTTAAAATTAGCCTTTGACTATTACAGTGAAACACAACCATTATGAAAGTTAACAGTACTGTATACAAAAAAACTAAAGACCTTAAAACAGTTTGTTCAATCCGCAGCTTTCAAATGCTCAAAAAATGATTTTTTTTTCGTCAAAATTATGGTTTTGACATGAACAAAGAACATGCAGATAAGAAACCACAGGCATTCTGGATGATGACAGAACATAAGTGATTTTGAACATATGTGTGGAGGCTGATTTCAATCCCTCTCAAGCATAAATTACAGTACTACAAAAAACATGTGATGTTACTATGAGGGCTGAATTTGGCCTGAAGTCATTTTCCTGTTCACATTTAAAACTAATTAGAAAAATTATTAAAAGGACAGTGTTGTCTTATCTATAAAATCATAATTTCATAACAAGTGCATCTTCCAATCAGA